ACACATCTTCCTTATCCATTCATCTATAGGTGGGCATTTGGGTTTCTTCCATATTTTGGTTATTGCAAATGATGCTGCAATAAACATGGGGTGCATCTGTTGTTTTAATTAGTATTTTCATATTCTTTGTGTAAATACCCACTAGTGGACTTACTGAATCATAATGGTAATGCTAGTTTTAACTTTTTGAGCAACCTCCATGCTGTTTTCCACAGTTACTGCACAAGTTTGCATTCCCAACAGTGCACAAAGGTTCTTTTTTCTCCACATCCTTACCAACATGAGTTGTTTTTTGTGTTTTTGATTTTAGTCAATTTGACAGGTGTGAGGTGATACCTCACTGTGCTTTTGATTTGCATGTCCCCAATGATTAGTGATGGTGAGCATCTTTTCAGGTGACTCTTGGTTGTCTGGATGTCTTCTTCGGAGAAATGTCTGTTGATGTCATCTGCTGATTTTTTAATTGAATTATTTGTGTTTTGTGTGTTGAGTTGTGTAAATTCTTTTATATTTTGCATACTAACCCCTTATTAGATATATCATTCTCTCATTCAGTAGGTTGTCTTTTTTTTTTTTTTTTTTTTTAATTTATTTGTCAGAAAGAGAGAGTGCTCACAAGTTGGGGGAAGGGGTAGATGGAGAAGGAGAAGCATATTTCAGTGGGGAGCCCAATGTGGAACTCAATCCCAGGACCCTGGGGTCATGACCTGAGCCGAAGGCAGATGCTTAACCAACTGAGCCACCCAGGCACCCCGTGTCTTTTTGTTCTGTTGTTTCCTTTGCTGTGCAGAAGCTTTTTATTTTGATGTAGTGCCAGTAGTTACTAGGGTTTTTTTGCTTTTATTCCCTTGCCTCAGAGACATATGTAGAAAATGTTGCTACCGCCAGTGTCAGAGAAATTATTGCCTGTGTTCTCTTCTAGGATTTTTATGGTGCCAGGTCTCACATTTAGGTGTCTGATCCATTTGGAATTTATTTTTGTATACAGTGTAAGTGCTTTGGTTTCATTTTCTTGCATGGAGCTGTCTAGTTTTCCCAACACCATTTGTTGAAAAGACTTTCTCCCATTGCATATTCTTTCCTTCTTTGTTGTAAATTAATTGACCATATAATTGTAGGTTTATTTCTGTGCTCTTTATTCTGTTCTCTTGATCTATGTGTCTTTTTGTGTCAGTACCATATTTTTGGAATATTTTGAGAAAAATAGGTTTTAACTCTTCTTTAAATGTCTGGTATAATTCACCTATGAAGCCATCTGGTCCTGGACTTTTGTTTGTTGGAAGTCTTTTGATTACCAGTACCATTTCATTCCTGGTAATTAGTCTGTTCAAGTTTTCTCTTTCTTCCTGATTCAGTTTTGGGAGGTTATATGTATGTTTCTAGGAATTTATCCATTTCTTCTAGGTTATCCAGTTTGTTGGCACATAATTTTTCATAATATTCCCTTAGAATCCTTTGTATTTCCCTGGTGTCAGTTATTTCTCCTCTTTCATTTCTTTTTTTTTTTTTTTTTAAGATTTTATTTATTTAACAGAGATTACAAGTAGGCAGAGAGGCAGGCAGGGAAAGAGGAGGAAGCAGGCTCCCTGCTGAGCAGAGAGCCCGATGTGAGGCTCGATCCCAGGACTCAGATCATGACCCGAGCCGAAGGCAGAGGCCTTAACCCACTGAGCCACCCAGGCGCCCCTCTCCTCTTTCATTTCTGATTGTGTTTCTTTGAGTTCTCTCCCTCCCTCCCTCTCTTCCTCTCTCTCTCTCTCTCTCTCTCTCTCTTTTTGATAAGTCTAGCTAAAGGTTTATCAATTTAGTTGATCTTCTCAAAGAACCAGCTTCTGGTTTCATTCATCTGTTCTTTTTTTTTTTTTTTTTTTTTTTTTTAGTTTCTCTCTCTCTCTCTCTCTCTCTGTATAGATAGATATACACACTCTAATTTTTATTCTTTCTTTCTTCTGGGTAGCCTGTTTCTTAATGATCATACTGTGTTGAACCACATGACAATGCTGATATTTGACAGTATTTGGTTGGTAAAAAGAGCAGAGTCATTTGACTCTTAATAGTTAAAGAGCAAGGTAGATTTCTGGAAATATAAAATAACAAATTGTGTGATATGGTTTAGTCACTAAGTCATGTAGCAATTTGAAAAAATAGAGTCATTAGCTTGGATGAAGAAGTTAGGAAAAACTTTAATAGAATAAAGTTTCACTTTGAATCTCTAATCAGCTAGAGGGGCTTCTCCTGAACATTTCAGTTTTTTTCTTGCTATTAATAGTTGAATTAACCTGGTAAGTCCATCAGATTTTTGTCTTAATGTAGAATTTATTTATGTATGTGTTTTTATTTAAATACCAATTTTTTAGTCTTTTGGCCCCACATTTATTCTTTCAATTTATTTTTTCGTGTTTAAAAAAATAATAGATTTTATCATCCTAACCTTTTTTTTTTTTTAAAAGATTTTATTTGTTTATTTGACAGAGAGAGAGAGAGTGAGAGAGAGAATACAAGCAGGGGGAGTGGGAGAGGAAGAAGTAGGCTTTCTGTCGAGTGGGGAGCCCAAGGTGGGGCTTGATCCCAGCACCCTGGAATATGATCTGAGCCAAAGGCAGATGCTTAATGACTGAGCCACCCAGGCACCCCATCCTAACTGTTTTAAGTGTACAGTTTGGTTGTGTTAAGTGTATTCACACTGTTGACAAACAGGTTTTTAGAATTTTATCGTCTTATAGAACTGAAGTTCTTTATCCATTAAATACCTCTGTTCCCCCTCCCTGTAGCCCCTGATTACCATCATTCTATTTCCTGTCTCTGTGAAATAGACTATGTTAGATACCTCATATAAGTGGGATCATAGATTATTTTTCTTTTTGGCTCATTTCACTTGGGATAATGTCCTCAAGGTTCATCCATGTTGTAACATGTGGTACAATTTCCTTTCCTCTTTTAGTTTTCTTTCAGAGTTACTTAAAAATTTTTTGACATACAAAAAGCTGTACATAACTAATGCAGACAAATAAAGGAATTAGAGATAAGTATACACCAGTGATCCATCATTGCAATCTATGCCATAAATCTGTCCATCACTTTTAGAAGTTTTCTCCCACCCTCTTATTTGTTATTATTATAGGTTGTTTTAGTGATAAAACACTTAGCATAAGGCTTACCCTCTTAGCAAATTTTTTTTTTAAAGATTTTATTTATTTGTCAGAGAGAGAGAGGGAGAGAGAGCGATCTCAGGCAGACAGAATGGCAGGCAGAGGCAGAGGGAGAAGCAGGCTCCCCGCCGAGCAAGGAGCCCGATGTGGGACTTGATCCCAGGACGCTGGGATCATGACCTGAGCCGAAGGCAGCTGCTTAACCAACTGAGCCACCCAGGCGTCCCCTCTTAGCAAATTTTTAAGAGAGTTTATTTATTTATTTATTAGAAAGAGAGAGAGAGAGAGAGAGAGAATGTGGAGGGCGGAGCAGAGGGAGAAAGACAAGCAGACTCTGCACTGAGCTCAGACAGGCACTGAGCACAGAGCCTGATGCAGGGCTCAATCCCAGGACCCTAAGATCACTGCCTGGGGGGAAATCAAGAGTGGACGTTTAACCCACTGAGCAACCCAGGACCTCCACCCCGGCCCCCCACCCCTTGGCAAAGTTTTTAATATACAATAGAGTTTTGTTAACTATAGGCACTGTGCTGTTCAGTAGATCTCTAGGACTTATTTACTTTGTGTAATTGAAAATTTCTACCCTTTGATTAATATCTCCCCTTTCCCCTTTGCCCATCCTCTGGAAAGCACCATTCTACTCTCTACCTCTATGAGTTTGACTGTTTTATATTCATAATGTAAGTGGTATAATATAGTATTTGTTCTTCTGTGTCTGGCTTATTTCACTTACCATAATGTCCTCTAGTTTCATCTGTATTGTCATAAATGGCAAGATTTCCTTTTTTGATGCTGAATAGTATTCCTCTGTGTGTGTGTGTGTGTGTGTGTGTGTGTGTTGCACATATCACATTTTAATTTGTTGACTGATAGGCATTTAGGTTGCTTCCATGTCTGGGCTATGGTGAATAATGCTGCAATGAATGTGGGAATATAGATCTCTTTGAGATCCTGATTTCAGTTTCTTTGGATATATATCCAAAGTGGGATTGCTGAATCATATTGTACTTCTATTGTTAGTTTTTTTGAGAATCTTCCATCCTGTTTTCCAAGGTGGCTGTTTCAATTTACATTCCCATCAACAGTGTACCAGGGATCCCTTTTCTGTACATCCTCACCAATACTTGTTATCTTTCTTGTTTCTTTTATCATATCTGTCCTAACAGGTGTGAGGTAATATCCCATTGCAGTTTCAATTTGCATTTCCCTGATGATGTTGAGCACATTGTCATATATACGTTAGCTATTGATATATCTTTTGTTCACTTCCTTTGCTCATTTTTAATCAGGTTATTTGGGTTTTTTTGCTATAATGTTGTAAGAGTTCTCTATATGTTTTGCATATTAGCTCTTTATTAAATATATTGTTTGTAGATATTTCCTCCCATTTCATAGGTTGTCTTTTCATTTCGTAGATTGTTTCTTTTGCTGTCCTGAAGTTTTTTAGTTTCATGTAATCCTGCTTGTCTCTTTTTTCTTTTGTTGCCTGTGCTTTTAGTATCATATCCTTTGTTTTAGGCTGAATGTTACTCTTTTGTACGGAGATGCCACATTATCTTTAATGCCTCATCTATCAGTGGACATCTCAGTCGCTTCAAACATTTTTAGCTGTTGTGAATAGTGTTGCTATTAACATGAATGTGCAAAAATCTCTTCATGACTCTGCTTTCAATTCTTTTGGATACAAAACCAGAAGTGGGATTGCCGGATCATAGGATCGTTCTATTTTTAACTTTTTGAGGAACCTCTTCATGCAAAAGTTTTCACAAATTTCATTGCTGTTGCTTCTGCTAAACTATCTAAAAATCTTTATTTCTTGGTTAATGCAAATTTATTTTTTTGCATATCCAGGGCCCTTGCAGAATCTACACCATCCGTTAACAACCTGAAGAGTGAAGTCGGTGATAAAGGGAAGAATAAGGATGAAGGAGAAGTTGGTAACAATGAAAAAAAAAAAGCTGCAGATGTTTGTCTTGAGTCTCATCCAGAAGAGAAAAAGAAGAAACGTTCTGGATTCAGAGACAGAAAAGTATGGAACACAGTCTTATAAATTAGTCAAAGCTGTTGTTAATTCTAAATTAGAATAATGCATTTGAGTCTCTTTTATAGTTTATTTCAGATGGTTCGTATTCTCCTTACAATGATATTCACCTCTCTATTTTTTTGTCATTTTCCTTTTTTTTAATTAATTTTTTTATTTTTTTATAAACATATAATGTATTTTTAGCGCCAGGGATACAGGTTTTTTTCTATCATTTTCTAAAAAGGCAAATATAGGGGGCGCCTGGGTGGCTCAGTGGGTTAAGCCGCTGCCTTCGGCTCAGGTCATGATCTCAGAGTCCTGGGATCGAGCCCCACATCAGGCTCTCTGCTCAGCAGGAAGCCTGCTTCCTCCTCTCTCTCTGCCTGCCTCTCTGCCTACTTGTGATCTCTCTGTCAAATAAATAAATAAAATCTTTAAAAAAAAAAAAAAAGGCAAATATAGTCCTGGAATATGAAGTTAATGGGGCTAGTGAAAAGATCTAGAATTGATAATCAGGATATGCATATATTTTCTTCATTCTTTTAATGCAGCTACTTTAGCCGATTCTTGCTTTCCAGATCTTTCTGTTGCTAAATGTTCTTGGAAATGTTAAGTCTTTGGTACAATTGATTTATGATGCCAAATTTGTAAAGGCAGAATAACCTCTCTTTGGAAATACACAAATATTTCCAAAAATTCAACTAATTTTGATGATAGTATAAACATTGAATGACTTCAGCTTTTAATATCTTTCATACAACCTGCTGTTACAGAGCTCTACCTCAGAAAAATTTCAATTCCAGTATAGTATGCCTATGATACTGAGCATTTGAATTCATCAGACATGAGTGATAAAAAGTCAAAAGGATGAATTTCTTAGACATCTGCATGTTAATGTTGAAATTCAGGGAATTGCTTCCTTTGATAAAATGTAACTAATAAGTGTAGCACGATAATTTGAGTTATTTCTGTGTTGCATGCGTGTTTGTGTGTGTGGGGATATATATATTTGCAAGATTTCCTTTGAGAAATTGGATTGTTCGGATGAAATTATTAAATATGTTTTTTCATTTCTCAAATTTGTTTTTGATTGAGGTGAATTTGAGCAAAAATGATATAAGTTATAACTTATACAAAATGATATAAGTCAACTATCCCAGTATTTCCACAATGATATATTTATTTGATCTTTTGCCCTGAGTGAATTTGAGTAAAGTTTCAATTTATCTTGTGCCAGCAGTTTCATTTATAGTTTTTACATTTTACAAAATAGAGCTAAAATTACCCAAATAAGCATTTATTTTTGAACTTTCCGTTTTCTTCTCCTGCTTTCTGCTTAGCAGTCACCATATATCATACTTTGCAAATAAAAATGAAAGCTTGATCAATATAATTTACTTAATTTGTAACTCCCTTGGCTATAAAACCTTTCTAATCTATTTCTGAAATAATTCTTATTTCACTATAGTCTCAGTGGAAGAGCTTTGTTTTCCGTATTCAAGGATAACCATTCCACATGTCATCCTGTTTCCCCAAAAACATGTTTCAACACTTATTTTTTCTTCTGTCCAGTTTCCTCAGTTACTTTGTCTTTTCATTTATTACATAGTATACATAGACAAGTTAAAGATTTTTCCACCTTTAATAAAATAATAAATTGCATTTTTGAGCATGGTTTTTTGTTTTTGTTTTTTTGCCATTCACCTTCTTTGCTGCTACACCAAACTGCTCTATCCTCTACAGCGTCTCTTTAACATCCTCACTTTTCTCTTAAGCTTTTTGGTTTTGTTCTTTTATATTGTCTTGATTTTTTTTTTTTAAAGATTTTATTTATTTGTCAGAGAGAGAGAGAGAGAGAGAGATCACAAGTAGGCCGAGAGGCAGGCAGAGGCAGAGGGAGAAGCAGGTTCCCTGCCGAGGAAGGAGCCCGATGTGGGACTCGATCCCAGGATGCTGGGATCATGACCTGAGCCGAAGGCAGCCGCTTAACCAACTGAGCCTCCCAGGCGTCCCATATTGTCTTGATTTTTATGTAATATTTCAAATATTCAGTGAGAAAAAATAGAGACTACTATAATGAACATGTACATATCTGACACTTGTTTTTGTCAAGTTTTAACATTTGACTATATTTGCTTCATTTTTTTTAAAGAAACAAAATGAATATAAAAAATATATTGCTGTATACTTTCCCCAATCCCATTTTTTCCCTCTTTTTCAGAGGTGAACCATTTGCTTTAATTTGTGATTTATTAATGTCATGTATGGCCTGGTGGTTTTGTGTCTTTTAGTTTTAATTAAAAAAAAAAATTCCCAGGTCCAAAGAGTTAGGACAGCCCTATCAATCAGTTTATGTTATACTGTTGTTGTACGTGCTTCTCTTTCATTTAATATTTATATTATTTTATCTTCTTTCATTTTATTTTTGATTTTTAATTTTTAATTTTCAATTTTCTTGTCCCTTCTGACACATCAAGTCCTGAATTCTGAAAAATTCTCACACACTGCTTCACTATTGCTTCATGGCCATTTCTTTTCTCTTGGAACTCTTATCTTACATCCTCACAACCTATACTACATATCTTATAACTGTTCTTTATATTTTTTCTCAGTAGTTCTTCCCCTACTGTCCTGGGGCCTCTTTTCTTTTTCTTCCCTTTTTTTTTTATGGTGTTAAAATGTCACATTTACCATGTTAACCATCTTTAAATGTACATTTCATCACAGAGTGTCAGCATTTTCTCACCACCCATATCCACAACTGTTCTCATGTTATAAAACTGAAAATATATACCCATTAATCAGTAACTCTTTACTACCCCCTTCCCTAGCCCCTCGAAACCACCTTTCTGCTTTTTCTCCATGATTTTGAATGCTAAAAGAACCTCATACAAGTGGAATCATAGAGTATTTGTATTTTTGTGACTGGCTTATTGCACTTCATGTAATGTCTTCAAGGTTCATCATGTTTTAGCATATGTTGGAATTTTCTTACTTTGGGGGATGTTACAGTGTATGAATATACTATATTTTGGTCATCCATTCAATCTCTTGATGGATATTTGTGTTGCTTCCACATTCTAGCTGTTTTGAAAAATGCTGTGAACATAGGTGAACAAATATCTATTGGAGACCTTGCTTTCTATTCTTTTGGGTATCTACCCAGAAGTGAAATTGCTAGATCATATGGTAATCCTATTTTTAATTTTCTTATGGAACCACCATACTGTCTTCCACAGTGATAAGCCATTTTGCATTCCCATCAGCAAGGGTTCTACTTTGTCCGTATCTTTGTCAACACTTGCTATGTTCTTATCTTAGATTAGCCATCCTAACAGATGTAAGGTGCTATCTCAGTACAGTTTTCATTTGTATTTCCATAATGTCAGTGACGTTGAACAACTTTGCATGTGCCTAGTAGTCAGTTATATGTCTTCTTTGTAGGAATGTTCATATCCTTTGCCCATTTCTTAACTCTGTTGTTGTTGTTTTTAATTGTTGAGTTTTAGGAGGTCTTTATATAAAATCTGTTGACTACTTATCAGATATATGATATATGATTTGCAATTATTTCATCTCATTGTATGAACTGTCTTTTTTTTTTCTTTGTTGCTTATGCCTCTGGTGTCATATCTGAGAAATCATTACCAAATCTAATGTTGTGTTGCTTTCGACCTATGTTTTCTTCCATAAGTAAATAGTTTTAGGTCTTTCATTTTGGTCTTTGATCCATTTCAAGTGAGTTGTTTTAAAAGATTTATTTATTTATTTTAGAGAGACAGTGAATGCATGAGAGTCAGGATGGGATAGGATGGGTAGAGTAGAAGGGAGAGGGACAAGCAGATTCCACGCTGAGCGTGGAGCCTGTTGCAGGGCTCAGTCCCACAACCCATGAGATCACAGTCTGAGTCGAAATCTTGAGTTGGGTGCTTATTAACCAACTGAGCCACCCAGGCACCCCCTTAGTTTATTTCTTATTATGGAGTTAGATCTTATCTACCACAGCTTCATTCTTTTGTATGTGGATACCAATTCTCCCAGCACCATTTGTTGAAAAGGCTATCCTTTTTTCCATTAAATGGTTGTGGCTCCCTTGTCAAAAATCATTTAACCATGTATGTGAGGGTGTATTTTGGGTCTGTATTCTATTCCAGTGGTCTGTATGTTTGTCTTCATGCCAGTATCACATTCTTTTGATGATTGTGGTTTTACAAGATTTTATTTATTTATTTGAGAGAGAGAGAAACAGAGAGAGCGAGCAAGCAAGCACAAGCAGCAGGGATGGGTAGAAGGAGAGGGAGAAGCAGACTCCTTGCCAAGGAGGGAACCTGATACGGAACTTGATCCCAGTACTCTGGGATTGTGACCCAGCTGAAGGCAGCTATTTAACTGACTGAGCCATTCAAGTGCCTGTCGTTTTATAATAAATTTTAAAATCAGGATGTAGTAGTCCTCAAACTTTGTTCTTCTTTTTCAAAATTTGTTTTGGCGGTTCAGAGTCCCAAGAGATCCCGTGACGCATATTAGTTATGTGAATCATGGTATATTGAACATGGGAGTACAGATACATCGTCAAGATACTGGTTTGACCGGACCATTTCCTTACACCACACACGAAAATGGACTCAAAATGGATGAAGGACCTCAATGTGAGAAAGGAATCCATCAAAATCCTTGAGGAGAACACAGGCAGCAACCTCTTCGACCTCAACCGCAGCACCTTCTTCCTAGGAACATCGCCAAAGGCAAGGGAAGCAAGAGCAAAAATGAACTATTGGGACTTCATCAAGATCAAAAGCTTTTGCACAACAAAGGAAACAGTTAACAAAACCAAAAGACAACGGACAGAATGGGAGAAGATATTTGCAAACGATATATCAGATAAAGTGCTAGTATCTCAAAATCTATAAAGAGCTTAGCAAACTCAACACCCAAAGAACAAAAAATCCAATCAAGAAATGGGCAGAGGACATGAACAGACATTTCTGCAAAGAAGACATCCAGAT